ACACAGTTATAGCCCAGATTAACTTGTGCAAAATAAAATGTTGTTTTTTTTTTTTCTCAACATGTTTACAATAAATTATGCCACAGGAAAACCGAATAAAACAGGTTTTTCAATTATTTATTAAATATATTGAATAGACATAGGTTGAGGAATTGAATTGTGATCTGTATGATTAAACCAAAAGCCTTGACTTCAATATAAAGCTTGATCTGACTGGGACACTGAGCATTAAAGAATACGTTGCTCTCAAGGAGAAACTGGAGTTCTATACGGTAATCACAATCACTGATAGCTATCATGTTTAAATGGTTCTTAATTATTTTATTCAGTAATTAAAGGGTTACTTCAAATGGCATATTAATTCCCTTAATCTGACTTATTATAGTTTTAGTCTATATATCTGTAGGTCCTCTCCTATTTTTTGTCCTAAAGAACCTCTAAAAACAAAATAAAACTTATCCTGAATCCAGTAGGGGGCTAAGTTCTCCTCCATGGACTCCACTCCTGCTCCCTGGTCACTTTGCGTTATCTATTTGATGGTCGCAATCCAATGAAATATTTTTCATAGAGATGCGTGGATGGAACGCATGCACAGAGAGCACTGTGGATGTGCCAATCAGAGTAGGGGAAGGAGAGAGTGTGGGGAGGCCAGGGTATGTAGAAGGGGAGATGGACAAGAAGAGGGGGGAATTAATTGGACATACGAGGAGAATAACAGGTAGGAAGGTGGAGAGGGCTGTAAAGGCTAGCATTAGGGAGGGCAGGAGAGACGGACAAATTAAAAATTGATGCAGTATTCCTATAAGATTCTACTTGCAGACACATTAACAGCTGTGTAATTTTTGCGGTGCAGATTTTTCTGAATAGGCATCATTTTAAGCTGAAACACTGTACAAATTGCTTGCTCCATTACCACTTCGAAAAAAGTAGAAGTGGACATGAAGGTTAGAGTAACCCTTTAAGGTGTCTCATTAATACGAATTTATCAGTGTAGTAGTTTCAAAAAAAGTCAACTCAACAAAGACACCCCAGCACTGGTCATTTTAACTTACTTGGTTATGATTGTCTCTGAATTAGAACATTTTCAGTCTTGTGGACACAAACTTATCTGGAACAATCGACTCGCTTGAAATGGGGAATGCTTTACAGAATGCAGGTACATGAGATTTCAATTTCCGTTATGTCACTATTTCATTTTGCATTTCATAATACCAACGTCCATACCAAATGTTGCAGTCCTACGTGCAGAAAATATTGTCTCTGCTAGTTAAATTATCTAAGAGATACTTTTTTTTATGGCAACCTGTCATCTTAATCAATGATTAGGCTAACAAGATCAGCAATATTTTCTCCACAGTTTCTAAAAGTAATTTGGTACATAATTATAAAAATAAATAAAAAGAAATCTCACATACTTCAGAAAGAAATATCCCTAAATGAAATGCCATAATCCGAGGTAATGCCTTAATAAGATATTGATAAAATGATGACTCCTGCTATCGGATTAATAACGATAGCCTATAAGATAAAAGTATAATGATAAATGTACACTTTAATCAGCCTAGGGGATAGTGAGCTGACAATGCTGTTGTAACAATGTGACAATAATATGGTGATGATAAAATAATAATTAACTAATGACTATATGAGTAAAGTATATGAAATACATTCAGGCAAACAGCAAGAAGAGATGATGAGGGACCTGCTTCAATTATTTAAATGAAATACAGTATAAATGGTAACATTCGATGTTTTGTAGTGTGAATACAGATTGCCGGATGTATAATTTGTATCTACATAAACAGGAACGTTATATAAATGAAATTACAAATGATCGCTTTCCCTGATACTAGCAACTCAATAAAGAGTTAAAATGCTCCCACAATCAGTATATTTGTACTAGCGGTGAAAAACAGAGGGAAAGGGCTAAATCTCTGTGTCACGGGAGATGTGACACCCCTTTGTACGTGTTCCCTTAATTCTACTTTGTCTAGTCTAATGTTTCCCTGCATTTGAATGGAATTGTTCCCTTCTGTTCGCTTACCAAAAAGATTCTGTGGGGGTCCCCTTGTTCGCAAACCATGTTTAGGCTTCAGTGGAAGATTGTGCTTGTCCCATTCTAAATATGATAAAAAAATTAGGCTTGAGTATTAATCTGTGGATAGGTATTAATGTCTCTTTTGGATATGATATTGGAACACAAGGCTTGTTCATATGAAAGGACTCCTTATCTAAGAGGGAATCAAGACATATGGCAAATGAGAGAGTTAGTTTATACTGAAACCAGACTTCCAGGCCACTTATGTGTGACTTCTCACACCTTACAAAGTAGCTCTGCTGGTGTCCCAGCTTCAAAGAGCAATTCAGGTTGTAATCTCTGACCTCCCATACAATCAAATTAACCCCTTTTGAAATTGACAATACCACCTCTACCAGGCAGCCAGTTCATACACGAACATAACTTTAGTTTTACCAAACCAATCTGAGCACTTTTTGGATATGTTGTGCACAGTGGTGTATCCTGGTTTTGTGCTGCCCTAGGCAGGACAAAACTCAGACGCCCCCTCCCCCGCCGCACCACCCCCACCCAACTCTTCCCCCCGCCCTTCCTTCTAAATACACACACACACATTCACTGACAGATATGCATACACTAGCTAACAGAAACAAACACTCGCTAACAGACACACACTCACACACACACACTCACTATCAGACACACACTCACTATCAGACACACACTATCAGACACACACACTCTAACACACACACACATACTAACACACACACATACTAACAGACACACACACTAACAGACACACACTCACTCACTATCAGACACACACACTCACTAACAGACACACACTCACTAACAGACACACACTCACACACACTAACAGACACACACTCACTAACACACACACACACACACTAACAGACACACACACACTCACTATCAGACAAACACACACTCACTAACAGACACACACACTCACTATCAGACACACACACACTCACTATCAGACACACTCACTCACTAACAGACACACACACACTCGCTATCAGACACACACACACTCACTATCAGACACACACACACTCACTATCAGACACACACACACACTCACTCAAATTAACATATTTATTTATTGATTTACCACCCCCCACCAGCCTCTTTACCTTTGGGAATGCTGCAGGGTGGGGGGTTCCCTCTCTCCCTGAGGCCCAGTGGCTGCTGGGCGGGCGGCTGGCGAGGGAGCACTTCCTCTGAGCGCTCTGGTCAGCTCCCTCGCGCTCTGCAGACTGAGGATGGGAGCGGTGCGCGAGGGAGCTGAGCAGAGCGCTCAGAGGAAGTGCTCCCTCCCAGCCGCCCGCCCAGCCCGCTGGTCAGTTAGCAGCGAGGCTAACAAGGCATTTGCCATGGGCATTTGGGGGCGGCTTTTTTTGCCGCCCCCTGGAAAATGCCACCCAAGGCAAATGCCTTGTTTGCCTCGCGGCTAAAACGTCCCTGGTTGTGCACTCCGATCGGGGCTATTCGGGAATATAATTTATGTGGGGTTCTGATGCTGTTGTCATGTATTTTTGTGATATGTAAAATTGTATGTAAGTTTTCCTATTTGAGAGATAATTGGATTATCTTAAATGGAGCTCAATTATCTCTGA